GACGTTCGTTATCGCTGCGTAGGGGTTCGCGCTTGTGCCGCTGCTCTTCAGTGCGTTTTTTTTCGGGTTATGCCGCGCGTCGTTTCCACACGATGTCCGACGTTTCATCCCCCCTCGTGCCGGGGAACTTCTTGGGGAACTGAATAGAAACTCCCGCCACGTGGAGCGAAGCGTCGGACATCGTGCCGAATGCCACGTGCGGTACGGCCGGATAACGTGTCGGAGAGCCAAAGGGCATTATTATTGTTGTTGCTGTGAATTCATATCATCAGTGCTGTTGTTGAAGGAGCAGACTACAGTGGTTTGTTTGACTCTGGTAGACCGGTGTAGTCTGCGCTTCGTCAAAAGAGGAGGCCCAGTGGTGGTGAAATGTTAACTGCCTCGCCTGGTATACAGGAGGTCATGGGTTCGATCCCCACCCTAACGCCTGCTGTATATTTGGAGTTTGCGTGGATTTTTCTCCGGGTCCTCCGGTTTTCTCTCCACATTTAGAAACATGCATTCAAAGCAATTGGCTGATATCAATTTCCACATGATAAGCAACTTCGTTGAGCTATCATTTGTGATAGCCAGATTGCTTCGGAAAAATGAGCTATATAGCCCAGTAGGCCTTACCTGGTAAAATAAAAATTGTTGAGTTTAGTTTTTTTTTTAACGACAAGAACTCTCCTGAAGCCCTCTCGTCGTGGCGAGTAGCAGCAGATCTCGACATTGGCACCGAGCTCCTGAACGCATCGCTGCTGCCATCATGGAAGCAAGGAAAAAATAATAGTGCTGTTGTTGGAATCTTCACCGGGAGCGGAGAAAGCATTCTTATCGAAGCCAGGTGCACCGGGCCAGTTAATCCCTTTCCCATATCGATGACGTACATCATCAACTCCATTCCAATGACGTACGTCATCAGTTCCATTCTGCCGACGTACATCATCGGAAAAGAGTTGTAAGGTAGAAGGTTATGCGGGAGGGCGTGTGGCTCAGTTTGGCACCAGCTATCGGAGAGCACGGTCGTGGCACTACAGTTCTCTGTGGTGAGTTACAATGTCTTTAAAAACAATGGCGCTGTGACTCTCGAAATAAAATCAACGCCGCGCCGCTTGTACGTTCCGAGATTCAGCGGTGAACAGGACAACGCACCCTGCAACTTGCAGACATCTCGGGACGGGAAAGGGTTAACAGCTGTGACTCGAGACTCCACGTGGTGGATCTTCCTATGGTGCCTCATTAGTATCTTAACCAGCATTTTGACGGTAATTATTTTAAGAGATGTAAAAAAAACGTTAATTCCTGATTCCGTTTCTCCGAGCTGCATAGCGATAAAATCGCGTTCACGGTTCGTGCTCAGCGCTGTGTCTAATGTGCGCAGCCGATCGTGCGCGAGTGATCCTTATAGCCAGCCTTGTAGTGATAACTCCATACAAATAACGTTGTCAAGAACACTGCAGCTGTAAAGTGAAAAATATATAGTAGGCACCGTTTTGGGCGATAACCCTTCTTCTTCAAAGCACATTAAAGAGAGTAAAATGATAAAGTGTTGCATTGTGGGAAGATTTGCTCTTGTTTGGACAAACAGGCCACAATCCACTTTCAAATGCACCATCTCAGGAGGAATGTAACTGCACCACTCTGAGAAATAAAATGTGGGGTACGCAGGTTGCGAGAGTGGGTGACGACACTCGAACCCCACTGCAGTTCGCCCATCTCCTGGCCACTTCGTAGCAGCTACCGATCCTGTAGCAATCAACTCCAATCATTAAACGGGTTCACACGTTCCTGACGATGTCGTGGCACCGACGTAAGGAGCCGGATCGGGAAGCCTCTTCCGCGCAAGAACCGAGCTTTTGCGAACACCGGACGAAGGTGCTGGACATCGGTCTCCGGTGGAGCGCCGCTCGTGCAAGCGTTGTCCAAATGTTGCTCCTCGACATTTCTCCCCCACCTCCGATTTTCTCGTAAACCAAACCGATTGGCGCGTTTTCCCGCGACGGTGACGAGTCGGTTTGATCGGCTCTGTCAGTTGGTGGAGGGCTGTGTGTCGTGAACAAGAATTGACACGTTACCTACTCGGCGATCTACCCCAATGTAAGCTTCGTAATTGTGGATGGCAACCGTTAACGCCTGATAGCCTGTCACACCTGGGAACGGTGAGCAGTCTCCCTTCCAGGTGTTAACCAGAGTCAAGCTTCCTTCGCTTTTGAAATCCCGCGAGGCCGTGCGCCCACACGTGGGTTAACGTTCATCGCGAGGCTTGCGCAAACGTGGCATTAATTTATTTATTTCGCATTCATTTCTTTATTTCGCAGCTGTAATTCGTGATCTCGGTGGTGGTTCTAGCCCAGTTCCCCGACGTGGAATGAAACCCCCTGGAGCCACCGGCCCCACCTGCGTGCTTGCGTGTGTGCGTGTGTATGTGTGTGTACGTTTGTGCGTGTGTGTGCGTGTACGTGTGTGTAAGTGTACGTGCGTGTGCATGTGTACATGTGCACGTGCGCACATTTGTGTATGCGTCCGTGCGTGTACGTGCGTGTACGTGCATGTACGTGCGTGTACGTGCGTGCACGCTGCTTGCGTCTGCACTGCGAACTCCGCTCAGCTGCTCTACTCAACACCGCCAACGATTTCGTCCTGGGGCGATTTGAGTCGTCGGACAGTCTTCAATTTCAGCTGGAAGATTGCAATGTGAGAGGGTGGTGGTGGAGCGAGCAAGCGAGGGGTGGTGCAGTGGTTAGCACGGCCCCGCACGACGACCCGAAGAACAATGTTCCATTCCTGGTCACTCGCTCACCCGCAGTCAGTCACCTCGTCATGACTCTTCTACCGCTAGCGCCATGGTTACTGTCCCCATGAATTTCACTCGTTGGTTCCTCCACCCACATGCTGAGCAGGCTCACTGGTTCGTCTTAATCACAACCACCACCACACACTGCAGGTCACAATAACACACTCACCAACCAACCCAACCACTCACACACCCGCACAAACACTCACTACCCACCCACCTATTCACACACTCATCCATCCACCCACTGTCTCACCCACCCACCCTCTCACACACTTATCCACTCACCCACCCACTTACACACCCACGCACTCACTCACAAAGACACCCCCTATTATAGCCTGAACAGACTGTTGGGGCAAGTCCTGTTAGTGAGCACCTATGAAGGCCGGCATGGCACACGAGAGGGTGCGTGGCCAGAATCGCGCCCAGCCGCCTTTGTCTCCTCAGTGGCGATGTTTACTACACACTCAATTGAGGCCGAGTCGAACTAGGGGAAGTCCAGGACCTATTATGATCATTTGTCACTGGTGTTGGCCGTGAGCGTGAATCGAACTTGGGTCGCCGGGTTCGTAGCGCAACTACGCTACCACTCCACACCCACTCACCCACCCACCCACTCCTCCACTCACCCACCCACTCACCCACCCACCACCCACTCACCCACTCACTCACCCACTCACTCACCCACTCACTCACCCACTAACCCACCCACCCACTCACCCACTCACTCACCCACTCACTCACCCACTCACTCACCCACTAACCCACCCACCCACTCACCCACCTACTCACCAATGACGTGCGGTGAGGTCAATGGCTGAGGAGGCACTGGCTCGTGTTAAAGCCAGATTCACACACTGACGGGGGCGTGGCCTCACTGAGGGGGGCGTGTTAGACGCGTCCCCCTCAGTGAGGCAGATGTGATAGCTGCCTCCCCTGGTGCTTTTTCATTGCAGTTTCATGACGAGAACAGCGAGCCTAAATATCTTTATACACACGTGAAATAAGTTACCTGGAGTATGGAAGGCGAGGACATGAAATGAAGGGGTCTACAAACATTACATTGGTGACATACTGAGATAGTAACAGGCACGCGCTTATTGCCCGCGCTCAATCCAGTTACTGAGGGGTTGGGCAATCAGAAGGGAGGCAGAGCTCGTCGCTGCCTCACCTCGCGTCTTTTCCTGTCTTTGCAGCGGAGCTCCGCAAATTTGGCGATTTTGACTATAAAAATTATTGGAATCGTACAGAATCACATTTTTAGCTCAGATCAGTGGAAAAATCTTAATATTTATTTTATTTGATTATTCTTTTTTTCTACTTTAAGTAACAGCTATTTTCATTGGAGTATGGCAGGTGAGGCCCTGCCTCCCCTGCCTCCCCTGGCCACACGTCCCTGCTACTCACCCACCCACTCACCACCAATCTGCATTTCCCAATGCTTCTCTTTCTGCTTCTTCCCTCGCACTGCTCCACTTGGGAATCCCCTCTCCCATCATTAGCATCGTCATCGTCTCTATTCCCAAACTTTTATATTAAGACTGTAATAACCATGGCCCAATTCAAGAAATGTGTGACACTCCTTATTCGTTCCAACTTTGAAAAGCGATATTTGTTGCTGGCGGCTTGAAAGTTTTGGTCCTTTTTTTACAGTAAACATCTCTGTGCGAGATATATACGACCCGGGGTTTTGGAATCCCGCTTTTTACTGCCCCGCGCTGACCGGCGCGGCTAAGTTTTTGCAAACAGACCGCACCATTGACGCGGCGGCGTGGATTCATCCGGCAGTGAGTTCTCAGCTCAGGGTGCTCACGCTGGCAACGGTGAAAGCAAGAAGGCCACGTGGCTGAACCAACGGACCCATGTTCACTCTCGACGAAGGGAGCAGATGCCCACCGTACCTATCGAACTCACCCATGCTTCACCGTGAAGGTTAACGCAAGCATGCTCCTTGATGAGACTGTAACTTAGCGGAAGTGCTGTTTATTTGAGCCGGCTCAGTTTTTTACGAGTTCGCACGCCTTGAGTGAGCTCCTCTCGCCGATGAGACCGAAAAACATCGCTTGTGAAAATGTTTGGAAGCGTGCTAAACCTGCCGGGTTTAACACGGAGCGAACGGCGATGGGAATGAATCTTATATATGATGAATCCACTCGTAATGATCTGCTTTAAAAATTTCACGAGCATCAGGTTTTTACTTTGCGTCGCGTGCTCGCTTTACCTTTTGGAATCATCGCCGCTTCGGTGCGGTGGCACCACGCCAAAGGTTTCTTTGCTGCTGTTCTGCAAATGGTACATTAACAAAAACGAGAATCAATGAAACCTGCGGCCGATATTCTCTGCCAATTACTTATTACTTTTCACTTTCCAGCATCCTTCAGATCACATGTCCTCAAAAAACAATTACATTGTAATGCTGAGCTTGCCAAGCAAGCAGTTCAGGGATCAGAGAGAGAGAGTGAACTGTGCTGGCACCGCTGGTGAGGCCTTGGCCCTCGTGATTCAACGGAAGTCTCGATGCAGCCGAGTAAAAGCGCCTCACTCCGGCCACCAATGGCTGCTCAGCACTGGTCTACATTCCCACTCTGAAAATTAACAATACCGGTTTGACTGCAATGTGACAATTTATTATCAGGTAAAGAAACCCAACACACTTGTCAACTACACTGTGCATGACCGGAGTTCACGTGATGATGTTTGCTCCTTGACGAGATCAGCAAGGTATTGTGGTTCATTGTTGGCAAGCACTTTGTGTGCATCGAATGCGATCTTATAACATGTATTCGTTCGGCAACCAGAAACCAATGCAGCTCGGCGAGCACTCGATGGACACGGTTGGATCTTGCTGTACCCGTCACGACACGTGCCAAAGAATGTTTGTAGACACCGCAGCTTGGTAATGTTTACGCCAGATGTGACTGACGAACATGTTGAGTTGTCTCGCTATTTCTGCTTGAGCACCACTGCCAACGCAGCAGCAGCAGCAGCAAATCAATGGTTTCACTTCAGATAGAGGCGCAGTCCTGCAAATCTTGCTCACGCCACTGCTGGCGGAAAGGGTTCCACTCGTGGGAGCTTTCGAGTTTCTCTCTGGAGGGTATTTTTGGCCGACGATTCAACGCTGGCCAGACGTCTTGGAAGAGGAGGCAGTTCCCCACACTTTACCCCACCACACGCGACCCTGTCGACCAACCGTACCCATTGATGCTGCCTGGGTGGACAGAGGCGGGAGGGGATTTAGGGAGCCTGCTCCCATCGTTTCAGCTGCCGCGCCTGGAGATCCAATCCGCGACCTCTGCCTTGAAAATCCGTTGTGCTGACCGTTACGCCGCGGCGGCGGCATTAAAGGAGTAAGATATCCCCACTGAAATGGCCCTGGAAAGGTGAATTTTGTTCCAAGATCACGTATCGAATTCTTTGGGAAATACCTGGGAATTGTCTGGGAATTCTGCAGCCTTTCCCGGGCGCAATGGCTGCGCTCTGCGAGATTTCTGAGTGGATTCTCCATCTCACGAGCGCCGTGCTCCCAGCGCAATCGGAATATTGCGGTCGGGGGGAAGGGGGGAAACAAACCCAAAAATAGCAAGAAAATAAAATATATTTTTTGTATTCACAGCGTGACCAAAGGGGGGACAGGGCTGATGGAATGTTTGTTGACCGCGTGTTTACAAGAAGCGAGCAAAAGGCGAGCACAAATTGCAGTGACACAAACAAGCCAGACAGCCGTGGTCACAAGCACGCTCATGCGGCGACGACGAGGACGACAACGACGACAACAACTACGATGACGACAACGACGACGACGACATAAACGACGACCACGACAACAACGACGACAACAACGACAACAACGATGACAACAACGATGCAGGGGGAGGCCTCTCAGGCCGGGGCACGGGCCGAGCACGCCAGGGGCACGCGAGTGGCGATACATTTTCCAGAAGTGTCCCAAACGCACCAACAGTTGCAACGTGAATAAAATACAAATGATTTCCCCGCGGCAATAGAGACGATCGCCAGTGGTCACGACCGCGGAAACTGAATTCACGCGTCGCCTTTTTGTGATGCCCCCCCCCCCACTCCACGTTTAGAATCAAGGTCACCACGCGTTGAGAGTATTTGGCTGCTGTAATACATTCCCACGTGATAAGCCACTTCGTGGGGCTCTCGTGATGTGATAGCCAGGTCGCTTCTGAGAGAGAGCTACCCCGCAGCTCTGTGGGCTTTATCTGGTCAAATAAAAAACATTGGTGTGTTGGTGCCGTTGTTATTCTGGTTTGTCTGGACGTATTATTATAATTATTATTTGCTGATTTTGCTGTTTTGGACCCAATTTTCCCTTGCCAAACGATCAACGAGCTCCGCACGAACCACAGTGGCAGACACGGCAACTGGGTGACGATGCACACACGGGGGATTAAAAACTCTCAGGCTGTGTGCGGCGAGTGCTGTCACCATCCAGAACAGAACCATGCAGCGTATACAACATTAACTCAATGGCCCATTCACTAACACGAAGGAGGATGCATCATCATCATTATCGCAGCCGCGACACACCGCTCCGCTACTCCTGACGCAACCACCTGGCTCAACCGCCTCCTCGGTGCAAAATTACAGCTGTTGCTCAGCGTCCACACCAGTCGTATGCAGAGGAAGAATGAGCTCTCGTGTTACTTAAATAGCCGTCATGGTCATGGTGACGACGATAAAGATGATGCTCAAGAATGTCATTATCTCCTCTGCTCGAAGAACCAATCATTCTGACTTCCTAAACCCACCCATCTCTCGTGCCCTGAACTTGGATTATGAACAACTAAAGGAAAATGTCGTTTTCAGAAGAAAAAAATATATATATCCATATTTTTCACCGAAGTAAATTCGCTCAACTGCTGCATCAAGGGGCCAAAAGTGAATATGCTGGCTGATGAGCACACGTGGGAGCCCTCTCGTGTTAGATCAGCGAGGGATATATCCGACCGCATGCCGAAGTGTACACACACACATCGACTCCCACCCATCGACTCAGACACACACAAATGAACGTACACACACACATTGACTGACACACACATACATCTACTCACTGACACATCGACTAACACACACACATCGACTTACGCACACACATCGACTTATACACACACATATCGACGTACACACATATCGACTTATACACACACATCCACTAATGCACACACACATGGACTTGTACACCCATACAGCGACTTACACACACAGACACAAGGAGTTACACACACACATGCACTTACACACATACATGGACTTACACACACACACATGGACTCACACACACACATATGGACTTACACATACAAACACAGAGACTGTCACATACACACATTACGCACACACATATCAACACACACACACACGACGCACACACATATATGGACTCACACGCAGACATGGACGTGTACACACACACATTATTACTTTTATATTTACTAAGATAGTTTTTAAATAATAGTTTTTTATATGTGTGACTTTAGCAAAAGCAAGGAAGAGGGGAAATGCAGGCGTGTGTAATAAGTAATTAAGAGCGATGGCAATGGTGTTCCGCCATTTTTGTGCAAACACTTAGAGCGAGAAAAATCGTTAAATAAATGAAAGTCAACGAATAAAAGGTAAACTTATCCTACCTGTAACTATGAGGAGATGCTCACCAATTAAGGCTAATTGACATAACGTCACTGCTCAACCCCCGTACTGAGGGGGAAAGTGTAAATATGTTAGAATGAAGACGTAATAGCATTCAGTATATTTGTTTGGCCCTGTGCAGTAAGTAGGTGGCTGCTTATGTCTCAAGAGTACAGAAAAAGGATATTATTCCCCGCACAGTTGTTTTTGTGAGCAGGACAGTGATATTTAGAAATGTAGCTATACACGCAGAAACACAGCGACTTTGACATTCACACATTGACGCACACACACACGGAGCCACACACACACATGTGGACTCACACGCACACATCGACGTACACACACATGATTATTTTTATATTTACGACGTTATTTTTTGTGAGCAGGACAGTGATATTTAGAAATGTATCTATTTTTAAAGAGAAAACGTGTGCATAAGTGATTCCCTCGCATTAAATACGTGGTCGCAATCATAGCCATTTTGTATATAACAATTGTAAAGTAGCGCTTAGTAGTCGGGGAGAAAAATCGTGTCACTTAGATGAACCATCATAAAACATTGGTTAATCCCTATCGTTTAATATTAAATAACAGAAATGGTGTAGTGACATTGCGGGATGTCACTGGGTAATGTCGACCCGAGAGAGGCACGGCGTGCGGTGTAACAAAATCGCGGACACCGCGTGGATGTGGGTGCAGTACCGGCCCTAGAGGGGCTCGGTGAGCACTGAGTGATAGCGCTGGAGGGCACCACGCTTGGCGTGCAGTGCCAGCCCTACAGGATAGGGTGTGGAAGTGCCGGCCATAGGAACGGGGTTACTAAAGGCCATGGCACTCCGGTTCCTCGAGAGGACATGTGACCGGTTAAGTCTACAAAGGGCCCCAGGTGGGGGCTAGATGTGGTCACGTGGTCCGGGTCAAGATCCTGCTAGAGGGTTCTGGAAAGTGGGCGTAGCCAGGAGCGGAGCCGGCCACACCGCAGAGGATAGAAGCCGGGCCCCCCAGAGGGAGCGCTGCTGTTGTTCATCCTGAAGAAACCTTCGTCTACGTTCTACGTGCTACAGAGTCTCCAACATGTGGACCGGGACCCAAGCTGGGGCCCGGTCCGTTGTAGCAAGTTACGGTGTGATTAGCGTAGTTAGCCTGGTGGTCACCACCACAGGTTGTTATTCTGTTAAGGGGTAGTTACCCCGTGTGTTGGTGTTAATAAATGTGTGGCCTCCAAAGAGTACATTTTAAGGGAGCTGCAAATGTGTGTGTGTTAGCTTGTGTCGACATGAATGAGAATTGCCCCCTCCCCCCATCCAAACGCGTGTGAGTTGGTAGGAGCATGCGCATATGTGTGCTTTGGCGCGCACTGAGCGGTGAATGTAATAAATACGTGAATAATAATCCAACTTTCAATCATTTAATCCTAAATAGCAGTAATAGCAATGAGTGAACAGTAATGTTACTAAATGTCTTAAGGGAGCTGTGTGACTTGGTAGGGGCGAGCATGCGCAGACGCGTGCTTTGGCGCGCACTTCGAGGCGCAAGTTAATAAATAAATAACCAAAACAGCACTAGATTGCTAATTAAACTACTTTAAAGGTGACAGACACGAAATCGGAATAGCGTTGGCT